ATTTATAGGTCCCATACAAGAATGGGAATAAAATTCAAACATCTGGGCGTCGTGGCTCGGCCGGGAACATTGAGAAACTTGGTTTTCAAATTCCTGTAAATTCAAATCTCGCCTGAAAATTATGAAGCTTGGCATGGTGTCATTTCATGGCACCAACATGCTGTGATAAAAAAATTTGCCGCATTTGGACAAGTTTTGGTATAAGCTTCTTGCAAATCAGAGCTTCTCTTGAGAAGACTCATGGTTCCCGAGGGGGGACGTGCCTTCTCTCGAGAAGACTCGTGGTTCCGATGGGGGACATACCACCTTTGTGTGCGAAACGATATATGTTGCCCCCCCCCTCCCCCCCGCTTTATTTTTTACAGAGGCAACACGGACCATATGAGTGCCGTGTTAAAATTTGGAATTATTCCGGGTTCGTTTGGCCTTCTTTATACATTAGTTGAATTTCTGGGCATTTAATGTGCATAATTCAAATTTGAACTACAAGCACATACTCCGGTGCGCCAAAGTTGGTTGAAAAATCACATGTGTGTCCTTGGGTGAATTTCTAGGTCTCATGCAAGAAATGAAAATGGAATTTCTAGGTGTCGGCTCACACCGTGAGCCCAGCCTGGCTAGCGTATCGGCAACTTGATTGTTGTCGCGCGGAATATGGTGGACCTATAGGCCCTCGAACCGAGCCGAGATGTTTATAACAACGTTGCGATAAGATGTCATCTTTGGATCCTTGGCGTCAAAGTCAACTACAAAGGCGTCTTTGGCAACTTCGTCAATCTTAACATAAGATGTGTCGGCTCAACCTATCGGAGATGCTCATAGGGGTAATGATGTGCATGCGCACATTCATAGGGGTGAGACTATGTGTATATGTTTGAGCGTCTGTGTATGTACTGCGTTAAAATACATGGCTGCTTTGGTTGTTCAATAAATCACATCCATCTATCTATCTATCTATCTATCTATCTATCTATCTATTACATTATTAAAACGATAGAAAACGAACGGCTAAGATTAACCATTATAAATTTCAGATTTTGAACGGTTGAGATTTTCAAATATTAGCTTAGGACACGGCTGAGTAGCGTTGCGGTGCTCGAAAAGATTAACCATTATAAATTTCAGATTTTGAACGGTTGAGATTTTCAAATATTAGCTGAGGACACGGCTGAGTAGCGTTGCAGTGCTCGAATTCCGACCGGGGGTGGCTATTCCTGATTAAGAAAGTTCATCAGGGCGCATTAATTCATGATTAAGAAAATTAGACCCCCATCCAATTAAAAACTTAAAATCAAGGGGGCATTAATTGTGAGATGGAAAGTCAGGGGATCGTAGAATATTAGGTGCATGGACTGATGGAATATTACGTGCATGCATCGATCGTGAAATCAGTAGATGGGTCCTCCATGTGAATACATGGAAACTACTCGAGGTTGATTTGGAAAGGGATTCAACGCAGTCAGAACTTGATTGGGGTGGCACGAAGTGGATCGCGCGTTGGAACGCGTGGTCGCGAAAGAGTCTTCTCGATTACTTAGGCTGGTCATAGTGGAGAGTAACATATACTAGTATCATGCATTTGATATTAGTGTATGATACTGTGTCTATAGTGCATAGTATCATAAAGTAGTATCATAGATGGTCTCATTTATTGTCATGTATGACACATAGTAGTATAACATTTATTATGTTATGGTATCTACCTATATTACTACTATCATCTCTCTCTTCTTTAATTGCCTGTTACATAAGCATGTTTGCGAGTCCCAAATACATGATACTTATTTTAGAGTGTAGATTCACTCATTTCACTTTGTATATAGTCACTTGTTAAAATCTCTAAAAAGACAAATATTTAGAAACGAAGGGAGTACTAGTTATGTTACCCCACTATGGCCAGCCTTAACGGTTAGAAAGAAGACCTAGGCAGACACGTCACACAAGGATACATACTCTTTTCGTTCTACACGGACGACTCGACGGAAGAATCCAGGAGGAATACGTATTCTCTCACGCCAGCCAATTGATGCATGATATGTTAAGCACCATGCTTGAATGGCATGCATGCATGCATCAATTTACAAAATTACGCCAGCAATTACTAAACGTGCTTCTGATTCGTTCTTTGTATATGACAATTTCTTGAGCATCAGCTTCATATATATGTATAGCTTACGGAAATAGGGAAAATTGTATTGTACGTATCAATTTTGGAGTAAATTTATCACTCGAGCTCCATGGAGCCCTGTTTTGAAAAATACAAAAAATCATATATTTTTTCCAGATTGCAGCAATACATATGAACATTGACATGTATATTACATCAATAAAATACTATTTGGTGTGAACTGTATAAAAAATCAAATTTTTAATACTGAATAGTGCATGTGCTAGAAAGACAAGATTTTCATTTTATTTTTTTGTGTGTACCTTGAACCACAACGCATTTTATCATTAAAATTGAGGAGAGTAGTATACATTCCTAGGTTCATGTGTAAGTCTTTTCATATTCTTTTGAAACTTAAAAAGATATGATATCTGTATTTTTCAAAAAACTAGGCTCCATGGACCCGGGATCCAAAAGAATTTTCCAACATTCTCACATGCAATATACCTAAATAAAATATTTTAGATGAAAAATATGAATCTACTTTAATAAATAAAATATAGCAAACTGAATTTTACCCTGTCATATATAAGAATAACTTTTGTACGCAAAGCTATTTGATTTACATATACCAGTCAACCTATACTAAAGTGTGGAATAAAACTAAAATGGTAATTTTGAAGTACATAGTGATGGAAGTCTGGTGTTGATTGCCAACAGTGGATAAGTATTAAATTAAGAAGAATCAAATAGTGTATGAATCTATGAGAGTAACATCCGAGACTGACCCTTAAAGAGTATCACCGCACGCAAAAAAAGTATCACTCAGGAACTACAAACGATGGATAAGTATTAGATTCAGAAGAACTAAATAGTGTATGAATGTATCATAATCCCATACAAGACATTCACAATGTTGAAGAAGAATAGTGATATATAAGTGGTTAACACATTTTATGAACAAAAGTTAAATAATGTTGGGACTTCAAAAATAAGGTCTGGAGCAACAAGTCATTTAGAATGTGTAAAAAGATGCAAGTTAATGGAAAAACTGGAAATAAAGGAACAGATTGTAAGGAGTAAAATACAATGTTTTTTTTTAAATACAATTGTGTAGAAGTAAATTAAGGTGAATGACATTTCACCCATTGGCAAAATAACTTCGGTGTGATGCAATGTTGGTATCCTATTTTCTATTCTTTCGACTGTTTGTCTAATACCAAGCCAATAACTGCAAATCATACGATAATACATAAAAACTATAGTAAAATGCACAGTAAATCTAGCCGCGCCAATGCGCGAGTATATGACAAAACAATACTATTAAGAGGGGTTGAGATTCAGAAGCTGGCAGTTGACCCTTGCTTTGCTCAATTAATAAGCCTCGGTTCCGTATTCTATAGAAACAGGGGCGTTGCACCTGGTTTCATTGAAACGAAACCCGTGAGTTCACAGCAGGTCGAAGCGTGCAGGGAAAGGAAAACCTGCAATGCACCCTGCGTGGAATTGGTCTTACAAACCAGATTGATTTCCTTCAGCTTCATGTTTATCTTCATCATGGTACACGAAAACTCAGAAAAATGCTGCAGACCACAATGTCAACACAAACATCACAGGACGATTAGCACCAAGACGTGGATCAACTGAAAAAGGTTTCAGCCCCTTTTGCCAGGGTTCAATCCCCGTGGAAGTTGGTTCCAGTGTTCCAAAAGGTGCCTCATCCGGCGATTTTTTTTACCAAGATAACAATATTCCACAAGTTCTGCAAATGAGAAATGAGAAATAATATGAGAAAACTGAATTTGTGAAATGTCATACTATGTAGGATTTCTAGTCAGTTCAGCAACTTACAGAGCAGCACAGCATTCTATGAGTGGCAACTGCATATCTTGTAATTCAACCGACACAAATGCACTGTGCACTTGTTTTATCATCACATTTGGTTTGAACTGCAATAATAGGTTCTGATGGAACATAAGAAACTGAATTGCCCCCAGGCCCAGCTTGTACCGGAAAAACATCCTCAGTTTCTTCCACCTCAACTTGAAATTCTCCCTTGTGTGTTTTCTTTCACCAAGCGTCTGACACAGAATGCAATTGAGGCTCTCATAAGAACATCAGTATTGAAAATATTCATCACTGATTTGTAACCAAGAATCACCTCATGTACTTACAACATGAACTGTGACTCCTATAAGAATCTCATGGTTTCTATAAATACATATCACAAGAAGAACAGCAGCACAAACAGTGTGTTCGGACAAAATAATTGAGACAGTGTGTATTCAAGGCATAGTTATGACTGCTCTATCTATATGAACCAACACTTGATACAATAACAGCTTTCTTCTCTCCCGTGCATCTTTAAAAAATCAAGCATGCACCTTGCAGTTCATTCATGCACGAAGCAGGTCAGTTGTCATAACACAGATAATTTTCTCAAGGAGGATCACTGACAACTAGGAATCCCCTTCATGGATAGAGCTGACAATGAAAATTAGAAGGGAAAGGGGCAAGTAATCTTTATACTGAGATGGAAAAACATACTAAGCTAGTGCTAATACTAAGTAGCTTTTCAATCATGCAAACTCATAGGGATTTTGCACTTCCAGAAACCACACATGCCCTGCGATACATTACCTCAACTATAATATATTACACACTTCACTATTTCGGCACAAACAAGTGATGTACCTTCAGGCCTGCTACCGGTGCACTGCTGTACCATAGGCCACAGATATGAAGCAACCATAGGATCTTAGTTCACTCCTGCAAAGAAAAGGGAAACAAACACTGCTCAGATATTATCTAGGAAAAAAACAAGGGTAACAGTTAGATCTGGTCATGTGATGGGAGCAAAGGAGATCGTAGTTGGCATTACCTTGGGTCAGTCCTAAAATTGCAGTCTTGCTTTTGGGATAGTTCCCACTAACCCCCTGCACTGTTGTATTAGCTTCTCGTTGCCAGAGTCCCAGACATCTAGCTTTTGCAGTGAGCTGGGGAGGCCATCCTCAGGCAGTGACCAGACAGACGGGCACTTGCTGACCTGTAACTCATTGAGGTTGGTAAGCTTGTGCAGCCCTGCAGGGAGGTGCTGAAGCTTGTCGAAACCAAAAAATTCGAGTTCCTGGAGGGAAGCAAGGAGGTGAAGGGCATCCTCGTGCTTGTTGCTGAAGCGCTCCATATCTTTGGACCCAGAAAGTTGCAGCTGGGTGAGGGAGGAAGACAGGAAACTGCAGATGGGCATGGCAAGGAGTCCCACGACGTCATCTGTCCAGAGCTTCTGCAGATTAGATGAACTTGGGTAGGAAAGTAGTTCCAGCTGCTGATCTCCTTCTTCATCCCAGACAGCAAAGAATCTTGGGCTGCCATAGACGATTAGTGCACTGAGCTGTCCCCTTGCGGTAAGGAGAGGCCCCAGGCCCTTGCATCTTAGATCCTCTCCGCAGTTCCTCAATTCCAATAGCGTGAGGGAAGTGAGGTTTGAGAGGGGCTCTACTGTTCGCATGCCTTCCACCCCATTAAGCTCGAGGAATTGCAGGGAGGATGGGAAAAGGTGACAGGAAGGTGAGGCAAATAAGTAGGCAGATACAAACTTGGGGGTTTCCTTTAATTTTAATCTCTCTAGGTATTGCAGGGCTTGGAGCCCTCCCCCTCCATCAGCAAGAAGAGTTGGCAGAGCCACCAGGACCAACTCTGGGCAGTGGGAGATGACCAACTCCCTTAATCTGTAGGAGAGACGGGCAGGGAACAGCAGCAGCCCATCTTCTTTCTCCCACTCTGTTGCTGCTGGTTTTTCATCTTTCTCCGCCTCTGATGCTGCTGATGTCATTTCTTGCTGATCCACCCCCACAGCCAGATGTGTAATCTTTCCACACTCTGTTATTTTCAATTCAGAGAGACATGGGAGGTGGGTGAGGAGCTCTGTCAACTCCTTCCCACTATTATCACATAACTCCTGGATCTCAATATGCTCAATAGGAAGCTCCCATTCGACATCACCCTGACCTCTTAATGACTCAATCAGAGCATCTGAACTCTCTGCAATTAATCTCTTCAATGAGGTTAGCAGCACAAGGTGCTTTAACTCTAGAGGTGGACATTGCAGGAGTGACAGCTCCTCAAGCTTTGTTAAGTTCTTGAATGCTAGCACCTGATCTAAACTGTGCAGATCATCCTTTCCAACAATATCCAATCTTACTCCATCCGATGAATTTGAGTATACTAACTTATCAAGTAGCATTGCACCCCTTATACTCACAGAACATAGAGTTTCCGTCCAGGGAATAGGAGGCACTAAAGATAATTCTGGACAGTTCTGTATCTCAAGCTCTTGCAGTTTGGGAAACCAATCTATGTCCCAGTCTTGATCTGGCCGGTAAACAATGTGGTTTGAAAATGGGAACTCCAGGAGCTTAGGGCAGTCTCTAATAATCAGTACTTGCAAAAGGGGAAATATATGATGAGCGTCTGATGATGGTACCCATTTTTCCAAACTTTCCAAGCCAACAAGTTCAAACCAGATTAGCCAGCGAAAGCTTTGCTCTATAACAAACTCTTTCACTGTGGCAATATGCTTCAGTACCAGTTTACGAAGATTCCGCATCTTCCCTACAGAAGGAAGAACTTCCCAAGAAACACCAACGAGACAAAGATAATGTAGAGCTTCAACAGCAAACTCATCACCCAGCCATGTTGGACAAGAAGGGCCTCTGTGCCCTCTAATGCACAACACTTGAAGATCTCCATGTGGTTTAAGGCTATCAAGAACCGCTGCTTCCACACCAGGCTCAACACTAGATCGCTTACTATCCCAGTCCAATGTTAACCTCCTCAAGTATCTTTTCTCCATCAGTTTTGCTTGAGCTGCTTCTTCTGCTGTATTTATCTTCTCAAGATTGTAGATGCCAAGCTCCCTTAGCATGGTCAAGTGCTCTAGTTGCTTTGGTTCAAACCCTTCATTTTTTTTATTGACTTGAAATACCTTTAACTCTTCCAAGAGTTTAAGTTTTCCCACATTATAAATATCAGAATGAAGCTGATCACCACTTGGGACATAAAAATGGCACAATTTGGCAAGGTTGCTAATGTCTTCGGGCAAATCACGGCGGCCATCCCACAACTCAAGATCTAGAATCCTTAAATGATAAAATTTAGAGATGCTAAGTGGTATGTCCATCTGCGTCTCCTCTGTTCCTAGAGATAGGTATCGTAGGTGGATAAGTCTTGAGAAGTTATATAACATGGACTCCACCGGACAAAGCATGTTGGGCAAACGAAGAATACGAAGAGCGTTTGCTTTCCCAAAAAAATCACCAAATATCTTGAAAAAACCTTCGTCCATTTCTCCAAATAACATCAATGTTTGCAAATCTTCAACCTTAAATCTTGTCCTCAGTTCTTCCAATTCACTCATTAATTTTTTACCAGACACTGCATCATATTTACCTAAATCATCTGTGCTTATAGACAAGTGACGGGTGGTTGACTGAATCTCTACTGATCCAACACTACCAAGACGTAAACTAAGATAATCATGAGATGCAACCTTCAGTGCCAAATCATGCATTAGGTGCATAACATAACACGGACCATCATCAATTTCCTCTTCTTTGAAAAATCCATGCATGACTAACTCATTCAAATTGCTCAGACCTATGTCTTCAAATGTTTGGTTTTGTCCGCTAGGTATCAAAATATCTAGTCCGATCCATAGATTGATCAGCTCATCACTTCTGAAATGATAATCTTCAGGAAACAATGCAGAACAGGCAAAACATTGTTGCAGATAAACAGGGAGAAAGTCATAGCTAAGCTTCAAGGTAGGCATAATATCATTGTCAGCATTCTCCTTCTCCCATCCTTTACTTCGTAAGACCCTATTCCAATTCTGCAAATTAAGGTCTTTATAGAGTAATCTACTAGCCGTTTTTGCTGCAAGAGGGGATCCCTTTAGTTTTTCCATTATCTTATCTCCAATCTCAAGCAGAAAATCTTTATCCCTTGGACATCCCTCATCGCCAAAGACAAATGCAAAGAATAACCGTCTAAAATCTTCAGTTTCTAAGCCGTTCAACTTTATTGAGTGGCCAGTTGTTTTAACCTTCTGTGCTATTGGTTGAAACCGAGTTGTGACGAGAATCATGGAACCATCCACTTGTGGCCTACTGAGAGTCGACAATAATCTTCCCCAGTCATCCCAATTACTAACCTGCCACATATCATCCAATACAAGTAAGAACCTTTTAGATCTCAATCTTTCTTCAATCAGCTCTTCAGTTGTACTGCCCTTTCTTTCATATCGAACTTCAGGGGTACATGTTCTAATGTGTTCTAGCACCTTATCCAGATTGAAATTGACCGATACACATGTCCAAATCATGACTCGAAAATGCTTCTGCACAAGTCTGTCGCAATATATATGTTGTATCAGAGTTGTCTTCCCAATCCCCCCCGGACCAACAACAGGAAGCACAGTTAGATCCTTATCACAGTATTGACCATTGGTGATGACATGTATGATGCTATCCATGACACGGTCCCTCCCATACAGCTTTGGCTCATCAACTTGACCTATGCTGATAGGACGATTTTGGGCAATGTTGGGGAGACTTCTAGTGTCACGACCCTGTAGAACGCCGTTAATATCCTTACACATAAGGTGCAGTTTCTCTACAATGACCTTCATCCTTTGAGATAAATCAACCCTATTAAACTCAAGTTGTGGTGTTTCCTGCACATTACCAAAATCTTCATCAGGAACATGCGGATCTGGGGAAGACGAACAAGGTAGAAGTTTACCGAGCCGCTGACCTCCTGATTGACGTTTGGAGCTGATGAGGAATTGCCGCGTGGCCTCTGCCGATGCCAACGGCAACAGTTGAACAGTTTGCTGATACCTTTGGCGGTGTGGCGGGCATCGAAGGCGTGCAGGTCGGCAGCCTCGTAATTGTTGTGGAGCATGTCGTGGATGCGGAAGTAGTCCAGCTCGTCCAGCAAGTCTTGGGCAAAGTGTGCCGAGACCCGCAGCCTCTCCAGCATCATCTCCATGGCCGAGCCGCCAAGCTCCTTGCGTGCAGCGTTTTCAAGCGTGGCCTGCACGAGCAGCAGTTCCGTCCTTATGGCCTCGATGTTGAGACCAAGGTTCATGCTGTCCGCCCAAGCCTCCAGCACGCCATCCGCGACGGGAGCTAACGCCTTGGACACCTCCCACTGCGCCGCGCTGAGGAGCGCATCCGCGCCCATCCTCACTGGCGAAGACCTGCATCCACGAACCAAGGGGATTTCGCTGGTAAGTGGAAGCCGCCGTCGCGAATCACGTCGCGGTAATTCGTCATACAGAGAAGGTCAACTGGTAGCTTGCCGCAGCAAGAGGAGAGGAGAGGAGAGGATAGGAGATTGGTACGTACCTAGCTATAATAACAACTGGTAGCTTAACGCGAGGTGTTGGGGGGCGCAGGCTGCCGGCGGCGAGGAAGGCCGACCGCAGAGCGAGAGAGCGGAGACGGCCGTGCGGCGTAGCTCAGATCTGGCGCCGTGGTGAAGCCCGCTTCAGATCTGAACGTCTGAAGAAGAAGAGTTCAGTGAAACTTGACTAGTCTTCCTCACGAGTGGGTCCACTGCTGTCAAGGGCTAGCGACGAGGACGTTCCTAAGAAATAAATGAATAATCAAAGGCACTCTTCGACAATCCAAAAGCCTTAAGCACTGGTGAAGTAAAGCACCCCGGACATTCGAGCATAAGATTTTTCATTGCCTGGTCACCGCTCCCATCGGATCCATGATGCAGCGAATATTTCGCAATTTTCGCCACTGAAAGACAAAGTCATTACGCAAAAGCCATAAGCTCCACAAGGTAGCAGAAGTCACAACATTGATCGCCTCTTTCAGCTTTTTTTTGTTTCCAGAGAGTAGATAATGAGAGAAACGAGACATGTACAGATATACCAAAAAGCCTCAGCAACCAGTGACCACATTTTTTTACCAACAATACATTCAAAAAACAAGTTTTGAAACGATCCGGGTTTGTCACAGAACACACATGTGAGATCCTCCACATGTCTCCATTTGGCCAGGTTATCTCTAGCAAGATGTTCGTTATAGAAAGCAAGCCAAACAAACACATGAATATCCTTAGGGGAACTTCGATCTTCCAAATAGAATCTTTGGTATCAGACGATATCCCACCAAAATTAATCGAGGATTTCATAGTATACTGGCCAGAAGGCTGAAGGGTCCATTTGGGTGTATCAACATCTGTAGTAGGAATACAAGTTTTTACCAGGGCTATCAAGCTATGACATTTATCCATAACAGAGTCATCTACACATCTTCTAAAGGTAAGATGCAAGCATTCCCCATCCCAGGCCTGGGCAAGTGTGTCATCTTGTTGTTGACAAATTTCAAAGAGGTCCCAAAACATGGTTTTAAGAGAGCGGCCCCCAATTCATACATCATGCCAGAAAGCAATGCTTTTACCATCCCCGGGAGACCACCCAATAAAATTTCTAGTAGCATTCAAGGCCCAAGTAACACTTTTCCAGAAAAGGAGATCCTAAAGCAGGTTTAACCTAAAAAATACTTGGTTTGTCAATAGCATACTTATAACATATGATTGGGCCATATTAAATTCCTTAAGGTTAGGCACCCCATCTCCCCAAACTCTTTCTTCCTGGATATCAACCCCCAGTTAGCAAGGTGATATTTATGAACTTCACCTACATTACCCCAAAAGAAATGAGATATTTGGGACGAAATAGCATCAATGGCACACTTGGGAAATTTCATGGACATGTAGTAGGTAGGTATACTGGCAATGCAGGTAGATAGTAAGATCAATTTGCCTCTGTAAGATAAATTCTTCCCTAACCAACCAGCAATTTATTTTATAATCCTATCAATGATAGGTTGAGGGTCCTCCCTCCTTAGTTTTTTAAAGTGGAGTGGTACATCGAGATACTTGAAGGGGAACTCCATAAACTGACAGCAGAAAATCTGAGAAATTTCCTTAGACATATCATCAAAAACATGCAGAGTATGAATGTCACTTTTATGGAAGTTGATTTTCAAACCAGTTAGTTTTTCAAAACAGATAAGAATCCATTTCAGGTTCCTAGCATAATCTAGAGAGTCTTTGAGAAACAAAATGGTGTCATCAACATACTGTTGGGGAACGTAGTAATTTTAAAAAAAAAATCTACGCACACGCAAGATCATGGTGATGCATAGCAACGAGAGGAGAGAGTATGTCCACGTATCCTCATACACCAAAAGCGGAAGCGTTAGCACAACGCGGTTGATGTAGTCGTACGTCTTCACGGCCTGACCGATGAAGCACCGAAACTACGACACCTCCGAGTTCTTGCACACGTTCAGCTCGATGACGTCCCTCGTATTTTGATCCAGCCGAGTGTCGAGGGAGACTTCCGTCAGCACGACGGCGTGGTGACAATGATGATGTTCTACCGTCGCAGGGCTTCGCCTAAGCACCGCTACGATATTATCGAGGAGGACTATGGTGGAGAGGGGCACCGCACACGGCTAAGAGATCAATGATCAATTGTTGTGTCTATGGGGTGCCCCCCTCACCCGTATATAAAGGAGTGGAGGAGGGGGCCGGCCAAGGGGGGTGGCGCGCCCTAGGGGGGAGTCCAACTCCCACCGGGAGTAGGACTCCCCCCTTTCCTATTAGGAGAGGGAGAGGGAAGGAAGAGGACACTAGTAGAAAACCACCCATTAGTCCCGGTTCGTAAGGGCCTTTAGTCTCGGTTCATGAACCGGGACTAATGGGTCGTTACTAATACCTTCACCCATTAGTCCCGGTTCAAACACGAACCGGGACCAATGTGCCTCCACGTGGCCCTGTGCGCCGAGCCCAGTCAGGGGGCCTTTGGTCCAGGTTGGTGGCTCCAACCGGGACCAAAAGTCAATTTTTTTTACAAAAGTGGCTGATTTAGGGGTTTTGGGGGTTATTTTTAGGTTGTTATTATATCTAGCTAATTGAGAGAAGTGTCCTCTCTTATATCTTCGTCCTTGGTTTATCAACGCTGCTGCTATGTTCATTGCACCCGCAGATATAAAATGCTCATGCATGCTTGCATCATACATCATCATATATATATAATAACAAGTCCTACTAATCATGCATCATCATACAACTTCTACTCATTATTAATAATAAGTCATACGATCATCATCCTCATAGTCATCGAACCCAAACCTACATAATTGTTCTTAGCACATGATCATCAGTATCAGGTAGGACCTAAACACCCTTAAGGTAAAATAGCATAAAACAATATAGACCCTGACTCTCCATTATGAAGAATGGCGATCATCCTGTCTCCAATTTTTGCCCTTCGCTGAATGTTGCTTCCAAGAAGCTCCTTACGACTGTCCATACATTTTTTCCATTCTTTGATTATCATGTCTCCACTTCTTTTAGAAACCCGGTATGGACAGTTGAGATTCGTAGGACGACCTGGTTGTATGTTCAAAACATGAAGGCTACCACGTGTATACATCAGATGAGGCACACAATCATTCGGGATTATCTGTTGAAAAACATAGTAATAACTTCGTAGTTAGCAATGATATGATGTACTAGTTTTAGAAGTGTGCAAAAAGATGCACGGATGTTGTAATAGTAAAAAATCTTACCAGGGTATCTCCATGGTAGTTACCGTAGTTCAACACGTGCACTAGTGACACGTATTGACCATAATGTTGAGGAGTTCGATTGTATACATTGTAATTCTCAAGATCAGTACAAAATCCGACCAAATGATTTTTCTCCTGATAAGTTAGTTCGAAGCCTTCGGTGTAGTAGGTTCTGTCTACCATCTTCCGCACATTCTTTGAAGAATGAAAATAAGCTGTCAATGGAGAATAAGTTGTCAACTATTTTGAAATAAACAATATAAATTACTTAATAACTATGTTAAGCTCACATGGGGGAAGAATTGGAGGTGTATCCACAAGGACGAAAATCGTAGGTCTCTCTTGCTCGATTGTAGGATCACCAAGATCCATGGTAACAAGCATACCCTCATCAAAACCATACATCTTGCAAAGTGCTTCCCAATTTTTGCAACCAAAATGGGTTACACTCTGAGCATTGTACAACTTTACTTGAAAATCCACACCATGATGGGTACTTAGGATAATTTTTTTGGTTTCTAAACTTTCATGGTCTTCAAAACCCATCCTCTCCAAGACATAGCGTCTCGCAAAGCATGGGATAAGCTAGTCGAATTGAAAAAGATGAAAAATATTGTCATGATTAAAATAGTTGAAGTCATGAGTAATTAGAAAAAAATTATTATCGTCGGTTGCGTACCATATGAACATCGAAGGTCTCCTCGAGCTTAATGCTGAAGCGCCGATCTTCGTCCAGCACAATGAACCTGTCGCAGATACCTCGGTCGTCGTGGCACCAGTCGCACTCCCCCGGGCGGTTTTCATCGTCCGATGAGTACGACATTTCCGGCCTACGTTCATAATTCAAATATTAAACTAGATCATTATTATTAATCACGGGTTGACTATCGATGATCGATGTACGTAGCTCCTCCTTTCATTCCCGAATGCATTATTAATTATATCAAATTGTCTAGCACACGGGAATGAAGGAGAACTTATCCAATATGAGCATTCAATAAGCAAAACCAAATCATAAAATAAGCAAAACCAAATCATAAAATAAAGTATAGTATTCAAATGAGCATGCATTCAATAATTATAAGCAAAAGTACATCATCTCTTGGTGTCCGTACATCGTCGAATATTATCACTAATACAACTAGAACCGTAGTTCCCTACGGGTATCGACGCGGGCGGTGGACACTCAAAGATAAGGAACCATCACAGGATCATAGCTCTAGTGAGATCCCTGAAGAACCTGCCAGGTATTGTCGAACCTCCCCTCCAATGCAACCATGTAGCGACGGACGTGCTCGTCCTCCTCGCTGACACAGTGATGTACCACCTCCGCGGTGTCCGGATGCCTCACCATCGTCACTGGCCCATGCGACCGCCACCAAACAAGGATCGGGTCAACAACGGGCTGCCTCCTCACCAACCTACGTCCCCCGGAAGGTAGCACCTCCCAATACCAGCCCGGCGGAGCCCAGTCCCGAACATGGCCCTGATCAAGCAGGCCTCCACCGCCGAGTCGACGACGACGAGGATGCGGGATAGGCATCGCCGACGTCGACGCGAGAACTACTTCTATATATAGTTAAATAA